GGGGGGGGGGGTCACACTTTGACAAAGTGAGGGTACTTGCCAGATTGTCATGTCCACCTCCACACCGTGTTGTAGGTTGTTTGCTCAAAAAATGCTTACATAAGGGAGGGGGGTGTCACAGGCACCCTAGGACCCCCCTATCTGCTCCCTTGCTTCAGTCAGCACAAGTTTAACATCAAGGCTTCCCACTAATTAGACTGTTCTTGTACAGGAGATGTACTCAATGTGTTAAATGATCACTGGCAAATTAACTGGAAATAAGAAAGTAATCATGGAAATAAATTTGATCACCTTGCTAGACCCAAAAATTTATGAAGAAAAAGCAAAACAAAACAAAACTTTGTTGGAGTGTGCTGGAGTCCCTCAAAACAATGAAAAAAGGTGATAATAATTACAATAGGCATAATTATTTCTACCTGGGTGTTATGGGCTTGCAGTTGTTTGGTCATCTTATTCATGAACACTAACCCTCATAACTTGTGACTCTCTTCACCTAAAAAGATCAGTACAAAACAGAAACAATAGGGCCTACTTACTGACTACACATGACCATAAAGCAAATCACAAATAGCACAAAATGTAATTTACATATTCACAATTATTATACTCAACACTCTCATGGTCATCATCTTCGTGTAGATTTTCGTGATGTTTTTTAAACAGTCACAGACCCAGAACAAACTATGTGAGGATTTCTGATACAGTTAGCACAGTGAATAGAATAAACTAGGGAGAATCTCACTTTAAATCAAAACCTTTTACCCGGAATAATGAAGATATTTACCGGTACCCACACAACTAGTCTGCCAAACTTCCTAGTTTAATTTGTCATGACAAATTATACAGAAGTTACAAAGTAGTCACTGTTGGGTATTGAAAAGAGAAAATATACCAAAGGTTAACTAGGATTACATGTATATGTATGCTTTGATACTACAGTACATTGTACAATATTTAACCTTCTTACATGGTGAGCTCTATGAGAAAAACAAATCCGGCGCTGTGTTGGCTGTTCAAGCAAACAAGATGCCACTATCTTGCCCAGTTGGGATTATGCACTGTCGTGCACAAGAATAATTTCTCCCAAGCCGAAGCTGTTTGCACAACAAAAATCTTTTATTGACCAAGCTTGTTTGGTCAGGATGGCTGTATATTGGCCTTGTTCTTTTTTGCGTGGTTACGGAACTCAACTCTGTCTCAGTCCACAAAAACAAACACAGAGAAAAACTTGGCCAAAATCCAGTCCTCGTGACCTCAGGCTAGGCTAATAACCCATATATGCTAGAGTAATAAACTAAGCATGTAAGTTGTGACTAAACTACAGAATACAGGACCATTTCTTAGGGTACATAAATGTGTCACTGAGCCAAAATAAAAGCTAATCAGTCTTCAGTCATTTAAATTCATTGTTTTATTGTTTTAAACGCAGACCTGCCTTGAAAACCAAAAATCTGGATCTCCCCTCAAATCAGGAGATTAAATAACACAAACAAACATTGCTGGAATTAAAAGGAAATCAGATACAGAGAAAACAAACAGCGGTTACAAACATAACAAAGAGGTTTCACATGATATGCTTGTTATGTTTGTAACCGCTGTTTGTTTTCTCTTTTACCGGAAATTGAAATCGCCGCAAAACAAGAATTTTTATGAAATCAGATACATTATGCTACATGTAACTTGAGGAGAGAATGCCCCGGGCTGAAGATGATGTGGGCAGGCCTGCCGTGTCACAATATTGAAATCTCTACATGACTAATGCCAAACTCTTAAAGGTATTAAGTAACCTATAATTTTACTAATCCTGCAATGTGGGTATATCAACATTTTTAAACTGGAAATCTGGATCTCTCTTGATACCAGGGGATTAAATAGAACATACAAATATCACAACAATTCAAAGAAAATCAGCTTTATGTTGTGAATGCACCAAGCTTCTAAGAGATACTGGATTGACAGGCCCATACATATCAACATATTAAGCAAATATTTACGTAACAAATGCCGACTACAAGGTCGGAAACCTCAAAAGAATTCTGGTATTGTGAGTATACATCTACATGTACATGTGCACACTCTTATGCCTTGAAAATATAAAGTAGGCATGCATGCTGTGCTAGTTTTCACTAAGTCGCTGGGAAGGAATATTCTGAGGAATAGCGACCTGCAGTGATTCCAGCATGTTCTCCAGTTCTGATAGATTATCCTCCTCTTGTGCTTGACTGACACTTTGGTACCTCTCATTAACCTGTGTAGCTGCCCAGGTAGCAAATTTAGAATTTTCCTTCTTTGTCTTGACATCTTTGGAGGAATTCGCCAAATGGGCTGAAGCCAGGAAAAACCCAAACAGAGCCCTCATGTTGTTATTGTCAAGCTTGAGAGCTTGTGCGAAGTACTTCCTGGCCTTTTCCATGTTTTCGTTCCCGCCAAGGGTGTAGAGGATCTCGGCGTATCGCTGGTGGAACAAATGATTGTGAGGATTCATTAAGATCAACTCTTCCATGCAAAATTTCGCCTTTTTGTGATCCTGCTGCGAGATGTAGAGCTCTGCCAATTCAGTCCACGCCTCTTGATCACTCATGAACTTTTTCAAATATTCATTGAGCTCTTTAATAGCTTCCCCCACTCTGTTTTGTGCCTTGAGAATGGCCACAAGCCTTTTACGAACAACAGCATTCGCTGGCTCTGCCTCCAAGATCTTGTTATAAATCTGTTCGGCTTCTTCGTACTTTTCAAACGCTTCAAGACGCATGGCATTCAGTTTCTCCACACGTATGCTCTTGGGAAATTGTGTTTTAAGTTCCCTCAAACACATGGTGGCCAAATCCATTTTTCGACAGTCGATCGAAGCCAAGAATACTTGCTCGTAAATCGTCCACAGCTCGTCTCCGAGCTTGTTTCCATGTTCTAGAATAAGACACTCACCAAGTTCAGTGACTTCTTCGCTATTACGAAGAGGTTCATCGCGCCATTGCCTCATTTTTTGGCGAGCAACTTCGAGGTCAACTACTTCGTCCGCCATCTTGAAGAAACAATGACATGCGCGGTAAGGAATTTATTACAAAAGAATTCTGGTATTCATCAGGGGTGGGGTAAAGATTGCCAAGAAGATAAAAACTTGAGCTTCAAAATTGACAAAATGTAGCACAAAATTGAAGAATATCAATATAGAGTAGGAATGATCTATTTTGGAGAAAAATATCCGTGTTTTTAAATGACCAGTAAGAATTATTTGTTTCTCATACCCCTCCCTCAATGTAATTGCAGATGGGGACTGGGACAAACCTGTCACGAAAAATAAATATGGCGTCCGGAGATCTGTGATTTGGAGAGATCAAAGGGGATTTCTTTTCATAATTCTGTCGATTTTTACCTTTAAAACTCGGAGGTAGTAGGAAGACAAGCAATTATGAATGTGATTTTGGCAGTCAAGCAGTATGTTACAAAGATGATCGAGGATAGTGGTCCCGGGATGAAAGTCCTTCTTATGGACAAGGAGACGGTAAGCGGATCGTTAATTGAAAATCGCCATCTACAAAGCTATATATAATTAGATCTCTTGGAGAAATCCTCGTTCCTTTTCGTATGTATTGAACAGTTTTCAAGCAGCAAAGCTTTATATACGGCATCCAATTTTAGATGTTCTTACAGGGCTTGTAACATGTTGTAACATAATATATTTGTGCATGTCATGTCGAGTTTAGCTTTAATGTCAAAGTATCAACTACAACGCGAAACAGCAAATCGGAAACGAACAGTGACAAAAGAAAACCATAGGATATTAGTTACACAGATTATTTGGTATATTTAAGGCTACAAATCGTTTAATCATGTAAAAATACAATTGTAATAGCCTTTTATAGACTTTATTTACACCATTACTACACTAGATTACACAAGGTCAGTTTTAAGCTGCTGGTAACCTTTAGCTTTGATAATCTAGGTAAGGATGAAAGCTGCACTTGGGTGCAAGTGGCCAATACCATTGGGTTGTATCGTAATTTTCACAGCATATGTTAACAAGAAGAATTACTACTCCCCTTGCAACTGAAATTTTAGGCCTATAATATTACAGGTTTCCACAGGTGATATGTAATGGATATTGAAAACGTAAGTGCCATTTTTGTTTATAGACAGGTATAGTGAGTATGGTGTATACTCAAAGTGAGGTTCTACAGAAAGAGGTTTATCTGTTTGAGAGGGTTGACACCAGCGGACGAGAAACCATGAAGCACTTGAAGGCGATCTGTTTCTTGAGACCAACAAGGGTGAGAGGATATTCCAGGAACTGGAAGAAAGGATTGTGAGAAATTACTTGTGCAGTGTGTACATTGTGGTTCAATATTACCCTTGGTACAATTTTGTATTTTTTCCTTTGGTTCAGATACATTATATAAATTACCATACACCAGAACAAAGGAATTGCTAAATTGTACCAGGGGCCTGGACCACGGATAAAATTGAACCACAACATATACTCTTGCCTGGTACAAGAGGTGGCACTAGTAATGAGTTTTGGGGAACAAGGGGACATGAACATTTCTTTTAACAGAACAAGGGTATTTTTGGGATTAGCTTGAGGGAACAAGGGGTATCTCTACCATAAAAGGGAACTTTGAAAACAAATTTTAGGGAACGATGGAATTTCTCAATAGGGAACAAGGGACAAAAAGTGAAAGGTGTTAACCTCTGATGATAACAAAAAATAACGAGGACACCTCTGATGAGAGTCATACAAGAATCAAAAACAGAAAGAAAGTGGTTAATCAAGGAGGTAACATTCTCTAGTACTGTATAGATCAGAAAGTCTATCTGAATACCTTGCATTAAGATGTGCAAGGAATTTTAAAAACTGAATTCTGATGTTGAAAAAAGATGAAAGGCTTGTTGAAATCATTTCATCTTAAATTCCTTGACAGAACTGATTTTTTTATCTAATCATTATTTTCTTTTCATTTATACTTTGTGTTACCAAGGAGAACATTGAACATCTTTGCAGTGAACTGAAAAATCCTAAATATGGAGTATATTATTTGTGTAAGTGTTACATAGTTATAATTATGTATAATTATTATACATCTGAGTGCCCAAAGTAAAATCTTTCTGATATTAATTTAATTTTCCTGTGCTGCAAAGTATTCTGAACAGCAACTACAACAACAACAACAACCTTTATTTGTACTCTCTCACACTATAATACTAATGCCTGAAATGCATGCAAAAATCTTTTGAATTAATTGCATAAACTTTATTTGTAAAGCCTGTGGAAAAAAATTCACATGTGATGGACTTTGTAAAATGTATACAATAGAATGATAATTACTGTAGTAGTAAACAAACAGTAAACAAAGTGATTTGTTAGTTCCAAAAAGAAATTGTTATTAATTCCACCGCAGACTTGCTCAAATCAACCTTCACTTAATCATTGCCTCAAGCCTCACTCAAGGAAGATCTTTGAGTGACAAAGTTGCAAGCACAAGTGATGGCAAAACCAATAGTGTGATATAAATACTGAAGAGGCTGGAATGTTATTCACTCCACCCCTTTCCTAATAGAAAATATTTTTGTCTGTTTTTCAGACTTTTCTAACTTCACTGCTAAGCCAAATATCAGAGCAATAGCCGAAGCTGATGACCATGAAGTTGTAAGAGAAGTGCAGGTAAATGTTACGCTTGGGTACATGTTTTTCTAGTGTCAAAACTTTAGGCTTTCTGGTCAATAGTGTATGGCTCATGAGCTGGGCACACAACCTCCATGGAAAAAACCCAGTCAGAATAGGGTTAATTATTCAAAATATCCATATCCCTATCAAGGATTTTGTTTTGATTTGAATTCCCCCCATTCCCAAATCCATCCCTCCAGAAATTCTAGTTTTGGTTCATATTTACCTTTAAAAATTTTGGCTTAAGAGACCACCTCCCCCTTGGAATTTCCTAAAACCCTCTGTGAGGTGGGTCTGGATATTTTCTGGAACCATCCATTTTCATAACTAATTTTAATACAATGTATATTAAATAGATCATTAGAATCATGATATACATACATATTCGTTGAGAGCTAAATTTGCTTAATAATTGATTTGATAATAATGCTATCGTTATTTTAGCTGTAGCTGAATGTATTATGATCGTTCACTTTACAACAAGTACATACATATACATGTAATAATTTTTTTGTCATTGTTGCAGGAATTTTACTCTGACTTTTACGCAGTTAGTCCTCATGTGTTTTCATTAAACATTCCAAATTGTGTGCGGGTGAGTAGTGATGTATCAAGTCTTTGTGTCTATTCAACTGCTGAGTGAATTTCTGTTGTGGGTTAGTTAACAACAGTTACTTTAAAAGTGAGAGAATGGTTACTTTGTCAATGGTGTAGCCCCCGTAAGTCTCCTGTTATGCAGTGATAGGTGAAGCCTTTTGGGAAAACTACATTTAACATCTATTGGGGAAGCTTTGGGAAAGACTAACACAAGTTTATAAACAACAGAACACCATGCCATGTGATCATTCTGTGCCATTCAGCTTCTGATTCTGTATACTTCTCTCATGTTTCTCAAAATTTACTGATTAGAAGTCTTCAGCCATGATCAGTGGCTAGTTTCTGCAACAGAAATAATTTTATTTGTCCCATTCTGTTTTTTGGACTATTTTTAGGGTGGATCATGGGATGTAGATGCCTTAGAGCGTTCATGCCAGGGAATCTTGGCTGTGTTGTTATCACTAAAGAAATGTCCTCTGATTAGATATCAGCATTCTTCTGAGATGGCCAAGAGATTGGCTGAGAACATAAGGGTTGGTATTACTATCTATGCTTATGTTTATTTGTAGGAGTCATTCGTTATGGCTTTTTATGGTTAACATGTTGATGATCACAAAATGAAGATCATAGTTTAATTACCGGGACAAAACGTTAGCCCCTTACATTTATCAAAATGAACTCGTAGGCTTCCTTAAATGAATGTGATCTGTAGGTCTAAATTACTTACTACCTGTATTGAAAAAAACAGATGTAAAGAAGAGAAAATATGATCCATAGTGAACAATATAAAACCTTACTGGATTACTTACAGGTACAGTAGCCAAGTGACTGACACATCCACGACAACTCATCGTATACCTCTCCTAGAAAACTGTGTACTTGTATGTAGTCCTCAAGTTTTAATTTCAAGTTAGTTGATGCTGAGCTGGATGGTTACAGAACATTTGTGCCCTACCTTTTTTTCAGCAGTCTAGCATTATTGGCATACAATGCATCTACAGGGCTGTAAATGCTAGAATATAGGTCGTCAAGTTTCCTTTTTGNCATGACACCCCGCGAGCCTGTCCATCGTGCCGTCAGAATAATAATTTCTGACGAAATTGCATTTTTCCAAAACTTACTATAGGTTTTTTATATTCCTTTTTGTCGTGTTTCTTTACCGTTTTCTTTTGTTTTGAATCCTCGGTCCTTACCATGCTTCAAAGCTATATTGAGCTGTACTTTCACGTGGTACTATTTATTGCGCCGTTTTAGGTAATTTCAACTTTTAAGTCTGTCGTAAAACCCAAGTGTGTTATCATTCAAATAGAATCTATTGAGTAGCACTGTCAAGTGGTAATGTTTATTATGCGTTACAAGATGGTTTAGCCTGCTACTTTGTGTAAAGTATGTGATCGTCCTTATGTAAGCTGTTGAGCTGTGATTGACAGTTGCTGATGTTTGTGATGCTACACAAGAGCGCTCTACTTCTATGTTTGTGGATGAAAAGTCAGTGTAACCAGTGAAAGTTTTTTGTCTTGAGCAGTAGGTTCATGTGGTACTTCATTCAGAATATACAATGCTTCCTTTCCATCAGGCGTTCGTGGAGAATTATCCCCAATTCAAGAAGATGTCAGGAACTGTGTCTAAACATGTGACCATTGTGGGCGAGTTGTCTCGTCTGGTGACAGAGAAATCTCTGCTGGACGTGTCAGAGGTTGAACAAGATCTCGCTTGTCAGAACGATCATTCGTCCGCTTTACAGGCAAGTTAAATGTTGAATCATGTATTGCATCATCTGTTACTGACTTTGGCCCCGTCCACACTACGCCAGAGAATTTGAAAACGGAGATTTCGCGCTGAAAACGCATCAGATGTTTTCCCTGTGCACATTACGCCGGAGGAATTTAAAAACGCAAGAATCACAGGTCATTTCAGTTGGATTTGTGTTTGAGGAAAACTCTGTCCAGGAAATCACATGATTATTGTGACTACATCGTTTTCAACAAGCTCCGTTTTCAAAATGTTTTACGTCCACACGGAAACGAAAAGCCGGCGTTTTCAATTTTCTCCTTTCCTTTTCGTGACGGAATAGTGTAGATGGTAGGTCTAACCGTAGAAATAAAGCTGCGTTTTCAAATTTCTCCGGTGTAGTGTGGACGGTGCCTTACTATGGTGGTAAATGGCATGTTCTTTCGATTACTATCGTGAAACTTGAGGTCGTGTTATCCCGACAGGCTCAAAAACTAACGAGCGTCATTGCTGAAGTTTTGAGGTAAACCAACTAGGACCTCGTGGCAGGGTGATGGACAGCCAATGTCCCGCGCGAGAAAACGCGCAGTGACCAAATAAATGCGTGTGTTTCCTGAAATGTACTGAAAAATGTGCAAACAGCGAAACGCGTCAGGAGACATAGAACCCGTAGAAGGGGTAAGGCGCGCCCGAAAGCATGAAAGCGAGTGACAAGTACTGAGGAACGTGAAACCGGCAATAGGTGGTTGGTTTCGCTTTTTTGTGGAGTCACCTTTGGCTGATTTGTTATGATACACGGACGTTGCTACGAGTTTTTGGGTAAAAATTGCTTAACTCGACAAGTTATTATTGAAAATCACCGTCAACTTGTTCCTTACTAGGCATTCAGCTGCCTACTTGAAAAAGTTTTTCAAGTCGTCGACTTTTTCGGGGCAAATTTTTACTTGAATTTGATAAAAGTAAGTAATAAAACAGGTGTATCACATGGCTTTCTAAGCTTTTTTTTAGAAAAAAAAATTACAACCTTTCATTTGTTGCAATTCTTCATCCTTCAGAACATTCGTCGTCAACTGGCCAATGAAAACGTGTCTGAACTGGACATGATTAGAATGGTGTCCCTGTACGCGCTGCGGTACGAAAAACACAGCAGTAATGACGTGGGTGGCCTGTTAAACATGCTGACAAGAAGAGGAGTCAGCGAGCAATATAAGAAGGTACCTATTGTAGCTATAATTTGTACAATAGTGTTGTTCTCTATTCTGTCCTTTCTTAATTATCTTTACACCTGAGAGGAACAAGTGGTAATTTTGGTTAAATCCCCGGGGAGAATTCCGAATTGTTTGCCTTCCTGTTGAAACCATCAATAAAACCCCTGCACTTTCTTCGCTACACTTAATTTTGTATCCCTTGCAAACGTATTAAGTTTGTGTCCGCTATGAGTGAACACCAGAGAATGCAATTTTTCAAGTTCGATATACATTTGTACCTCGTACTAACCGAGTTCGAGGTCTGTACTGTACGTTACGGGCCAAGATGGGAATTTAAAGGGAAAAAACGAGGATTTGTAACTTGTGTACGGACGGAGTAAGTTGTTATATGTCTACTTGATGTCTGACAGGGTTGGGAGACCATTTGTCTAACGTAGGTCAAAAGCCAAACGAGTCAATTCGAAATCGTTACAAATTTTAGGAAAACGTAATTTTTTACAAGTTCATTGCCTTGAACGTTTAGGGACATTTCGGCAACAAGAACCGCTTCAAATTTTAGCGGACCAATCGCAATGCGCGTAGTAACTGAGAGATATAGTAAATCTCATTAATCACGCGATGGAATGATCGCATCTTATTGGTAGCCAATATGATGATGGTCCGGTGAAGTCAATTTGGAATACACTACCTTTCGGTCAGGTCAGCTCGGTCCGGCTCGGGTCCGCTCGGGTCCGCCCGTCAACTGTCGGTTATATCCGACCTTAAGTTTAACGACGACACAAATCAGCTGTCGAGGTCTACTGGGCTTTTCAAGTCCTGCCGTGTAGTCGTATTGATGAAACGCGCAATTCTTTGCAAACCGTGCGACTGTGTTTGTTCACCTGCTTAATGAAAATCGTTTGTAAAATCTTTGTCTATTCAGAGTCATTCATAACCGCAATGAATCAGTTTCTCGCATAAGCGCCGAGTTTGTATCAGATAACGTACTGTATCTCACCGCGTCGATACAATATTAAACCACTTTCTGGCTCTCGACAGAGTACTCCACAATTCATTGCATTTATTGATGTCAGGGCGCTCTGAGGCCCCGTCTACACTACGCCGGAGAAATTTGAAAACGCAGCTTTATTTCTACGGTTAGGCCTATCGTCCACACTAGTCCGTCACGAAAATGGAGCTTTTCGAAAACGCTCTTCAAACGTGAGGAATTTGAAAACGCTGGCTTTGCGTGCTAGTGTGGACAGAGAACATTGTGAAAACAGAGCTTTTCCAAAACGATGACGTCACGATAATCATGTGATTTCCCTGACCGAGTTTTCCTCAAACACAAATCCAAAATGACTGATGATGGTTGCTTTTTAAAATTTCTCCGGCATGGTGTGGACGGAAAACATTTGATGCATTTTCTGAGTGAAAACACCGTTTTCAAATTTCTCCAACGCCGACGTAGTGTGGACCGGGCCGGAAGCTTCTTAGTGAGAGCGTTGCAGGGGCAATCCTAGCGTAACCTAATCTTTCGCGGGATAGAAGACTGATTGACTTTGCGCAGTTCTTCTCTCCACACTCTCGCCCCCTCCCTCCAAACGCCAATTAAACTTCACCGACAAATTAGCTGTTTCAGTGACGAGAGCACGTAGTGTAAACACTGCAAATCACACAAAAGCACCATTAGTACGGTATACAAACTTAGTTTATTCATAGTCTTTGCTCCTTAATCACAAGTGTTTTATTCCCATTTGTTTAGTAACATAATATATACGTCTCATTTTATATTTTCGTATATACATTTTGCTAATAGCGGTCCCTTGGTGACGTTCTATGTCAAGTCGCAGTTTATAACATCGTCCTCTGGTCTAGCTTCACCCTACATACATTATCTAATCACTGTTCAAAGTTTTCTTTTCAGTACACAATAACACACCCAGGCTTTACACTTTTAAAACAAGAGCGGTGAATAATCTGAATTAATGTTGTCTCTTGAACAAACATATTTGTTATTAATATGTACACAACGGCGTCCACTAATTGAGAAAGAAAAGTCCAGTGCGTTGAATCGATTGCATTTAAATCTCGTAATCACAAGCTAATCTCAGTATTTTTTTATGTGGAATACAGTTTACAGATCTAATCCCATTTAAACCCTTTGTGACCTTACCGATGTCTTACATAGTTGAGGAGCGATCACGTAATCCAGTGGAAAAGGTTTTCAAAGCGTTCAAAAAGTCTTGTTTCATGAACGTGCATAGAAGGGGGTTGCACAGCGCGGTTAGAAAACGGAAAAAAATTATGCTTGTTACAATCATGTTCATTGCCTTTGGCGATATGCTATAAAGCCCTGCTACCTCCATGTCCTCCATAAGCGCCCAGAGAAAGTAGAAAAATAAGCCGCAGATGAAGACGGTGATCATTGCAATGAACAGCAAAGCAATTTTCTTTTCGTTCACCTTTCGCCTTCCTGCGTTAACCCGTGACGCCGAGCGCCCGGAGAGTTCGCTGTGGATTGTGTTTCTGTGCCTGCGTAGGCTTATTAAGATTCTGGTATAGATAACGCCCATCAAGAACAGGGGAACAACGACAAGGGCGGCCATATGGAAGAAATCGTAGCCCAGCTCAATGCGAATCAATGCTTCTTCATCCAGCGTTGTCAGAATCCAAGAGAGCTGTATCATGGATGCTAGCAGAGCGAACACCCAGGCAAAACCCAGCGCCCATCTGAGTCTCTCCGGGGTCACAATTATTGGGTACTGCAGTAGCTTTGTGACTCTAATGTAGCGGTCGATGGATAAAAGAATAAGGTGACCGACGGACGAGAAAGCCAGGAAACGATTCGAGATGTCCATGGCGATGCACACTTCGCGTTGTAACGTCGCCGAGCAAGCAATCACCATCGGCACCGCCAGCAACCCCGTCAAAAGATCGCTCGTTGCAAGGCTAGCAAGGATCATGTTGGACGTGGTGCGAAGACGTCTCTTTCGCCAGATTAGCAAGAGGATCAGGCTGTTTGCTACGACGATGAAGAAAGAAAGCAATCCGTAGAGGACGAACGCGCCGGTTTTATCGCTCGTGAAGAGTGGCTCATCCATATCTTCTAGTTCATCGACTGTGACATTGCTGGTCTTGTTGTAGGCCATGTTTTAGCGTTTTGATTTTTTGTTCCTCGGTTTTTCTTTAGCAAACGTCCAGCAAATTATTTGTAAATTTTGTTTGCCTGTAAGAGGCACACCTCGCCTTGGAAGGTCTTGTTGTTTTCGGCCCCAGAAGTGAAGCAATGTTTTTCAAGTAAATATCCTTGAAGTTTCTTTTGTTCTACTGCCTGTCGGCTGCTCAGTTGAAACACAAACTGAATATGTCTCTGAAAGTAGTGAAGCAGAAAAGCAATTAAATTGCCAAATGAAAACGTTATTAACGTTTGTCAAAATTAAAGTAACTAAAGGCTTAAAGTGTAAAGCGTTTTAATATCCCATTCAAAATGTAAATGACTTTTTGAAAATTGAACTTTAAAACATCCTCGTCGGTTTTCGAAAAGGTACCGACGTGTTACTTTAGCGTTTTTTGGACGGCAAAAAACGCCTCCGCCAGCTATGCCTTGTGCAAGAAACGGTAGACATGTTGCTTACAAAACATCAGTGACAAAAGGACGCGACTTTCCTTTTTGCAATAAGTTAAGTAATTTTTTTGACACTTTTGATTCCGTAGTTTGCAAATGCTATCCGGAAATATTTGTTGTAAGTTGAAACGCCGGAATATCGGAATATTGAAGGTAAACTGGGATCAATTCCTAGTGTGATTGATAAATTCCCCTTTTTAAATGTACTTACATGGGCTTTTCGTCTGAACAAATCCCCCAGGCATGTTTAGTAGTCCAGCGTGCACAGTAGATTAAGCTATCCTTCGCAAAACGTTGTGCAGTTCTTTTCATTCGTGCGCGCGACATGAAACTGTCTTATCTTTAAAAGGATATTAATGTAAACAGATATTTGCATCCTGTGAGTTTCAATAAACGAGCGTTGTTTGTTTTCAAAGAATAGAAAAGCTAAATTGCCTTCAATTACAAATGGCCAAGTATTGTCAGCTTGTTGCGCGTGTGTCACGTCGCAACAAAGAGACGACCGTCTTTCTTTCAGCCGATCTTCAGCGCAAGTAAAAGCCCACCCGTTCTTGCCAACTCCAATGTCCAGCCTTCTTATAGCAATTACTATTTTTAACAGGACTTTTATGCAAACAAAATTTGAAGTATTCATTAGGGTGATGTTTGCTTTTCGCGGATGGAAAAAGTTAAATTGCTTTCTTTTACAATGGAATCGAAGTAGAGCCTTATGCGAGCGCGTCAAATATTTCCGCGTATAGAAACGAAACTGAGCAACATTGCAGTTTGAACAGTTATAATTGTGTGTTCAACGAAGTAATGAATTTGGTGAAATTAGTTCGAAACTAGTTCATTTTCATGCATATTGGAGAGTCGTTTCCGTATGTAACTATAAAACCTATAGGTATTACTAAATATTACTGTTTGTTTTGTAAACTTTAGTGTTCATTACAAACACGTTCAGTGGAAAAACAGAAAACTTGTTGGCTGCTTCAAGTTTTAACCAAACATGAAGCTGATTAGAAAGCTAGTCTTTAATTAAAAGCTAAACTGTTTTAACTGAAAATAATAGATTTTCGAAAAGCACTCTATTCTCGCGGCTGTTTTGAACTGATGTTTTTTTTTTTTTAACTGATATTATTAAAGTTTGACAGATATAAACACAGGCATCGGAAACTGGCTTTCGCGTTGTCAATCATTTTCACATTTATTAGTTTAAATATTGCAGAATGCATTTTCTTAATATATCTCACTTTATCCATAGCGAGTTATTGTGGTGATAGACGTTGGCATTTTGTCGTGGACTACGTTACGTTTTTAAAATGTCTTATTTCGCACGAAGGAACATGACAAGTATTGCGCAAGGGTGTTGCCTGGCAAGATTACCAATACGAGATGTTTGTAAATCGAAAAAGACAAAGTATGATTAAACTTGGAACATCCCACGTAATTGATTCATTTCCTCGATAAACCAGATTACCACTTACATTGTATGAGCACTGGGCTTATACAACTTTGGACGGGCTTATAAACGGAGAGGCTTATATCCGGGTGAGCTTATAAGCGGAATAAAAAAAACGTTTCGAAATGAGTTACAATGTTGATCGAAATACGGTTTTCATTTACTGGTTTTTAATTAAGCTTGAACGCATAATAATTGAATTCATGTTATTTTAAACTAGAGGGGATCTTATATCCGTAGGGCTTATAATCGGAAGTAGTGTTTTGTTTAGAGGTAAATGGGCCTTTAACCGGGGGGCTTATAAGTGACAGTTTAGAGTATTAAGTGGTAAATTTCTTTTATATACAGTGTACAGTTATGTGTATTGCCGGTACAATATTCCATAGTTTTAAGCCAGAGCGCACCATCGTCGTTTATTGCGTTGATAAGGCAGGCTGCAAAATGCGACTTGTCTCATAAAAGCCTTATCGTAAGATGAAGCATTTCATATCATGTGATGTATATAACAAAAAGAGTATTTATTATGCTATTAATATATGAGTAACCGACACGACCGACAATTTCGTGTTATTGCGAAATAGCTGTTAAATTGACCAATTATGCTGCCTGAAAGAGGCGCCGGCCTTGCGGTAAAATTGATACTTGTGATCGAAAATGCTATCCCCTTCTTTTCCCAAACAAATGACTCAACGTGGTGTTGTTATTTTATCCTCTTTTGACACGTCAGCTGGTAACTGCACTGATCCAATATGGCGGCAGAAATGTCAGAAGCAGCGATCTTTTCGGACAAAACAAAACTCCACTGTCACTAACAAGAAGGTTCTTCAAAGGATTGAAGGTGAGTAAGCGTCGTTAAGTTTGAATTAGTATCACCCAACTAGTGGACTAATGCAAATCTTGCATTTTAAATGGCTACGCTACTAGAGGACTGTTAGTAATAGTCCTCGAGTAGCGAAATTGGTGCAATCAAGCGTGACGCTTTCTTTCGCTTTGTTCCCAAATAAATATTTCTTCAACTTGCACTTGCTAACTTTATTATTGCCTTTTCTGTCCGA